GGCAAACAATCATCAGTCGCGCGCTGATGCCCGTTGGTTCACCCACCAGCTGGCCATGGAGGCGATCGGATATTGCCAATCCGACCCCATGTTCACATGGTGCTGAGGCGGCGTTGCCAACGCAGTAGAATGTGTAGCCAACACCTGCTTCATGCAACTTACCTTCCTCAGCGAGCCGAGTTTCACTGTGCGCCGCAATATCAATGTTGTACCGCGCCAGTGCAGTGCGTCGCTCCAGACGCCCACTCGTGTTTCAGTTGAGCAAGTTGCGCACGTTCCAGCACCCGATACTGAGTGCTTTGCGCGCAGGCATACGATTGCATTGGTGGGCAATCGCACGCCTGGTGATGATTGTGCTTCGGAGACTTGCTTGAGGGACTTGGGCTTGAGCCTTTGGAGCAATAACCTGAGCCACAAGGTAGTGGGTGGTTTGGAAGTTTGCTTGAGGGAATCCGCCCGGAGCCGTTGGCTCAATAGCCCGATCTACAATGCAGTGGGGAGCAGATCCAGCTCGGGAATGTGACTTCATAGACAGATGGGATCGGCTTGAAGGCCGTCACACGCAGCCTTTGAGGTTCTGGAACAATCCATATATGTTTTGCGACCGTAGTAGGATACAATTGCGACTGCGGCCGGACGCAGGTGGGTTTTGGCGGGTTTGCACCAATTTGTTCAGGGGATGTCTGGCTTGAGGCGGACAGTAGCAAACCACTGAGCACCAAGAGGTGCCCGTCCACCGTCAGAGACAATGCGTGGCGCTCGTGCTCTACGTCAATCGAGCTGTGAGCTTATAACCCGTAGACCTGTTGTCTCCCATGGCCAGGTTTTACGGGAAGAGCGCCATCGACTACTTCCTAACCTCCAAAGAGGTTAGGCTAGGATACTGGCAGGGCGCCCACACCTGACAGGAGGACGACTGGGGTCCTGAGCCAAAGCTTTCGATTAAATGTACACCGGAAAGGCAGCGGGTCTAACACATGGTCAGTTCCCTGTTTCATGCGGATTGGTGTCCTGGATCTTAACAGGGACAAGGGCGCAACCCAACTTCCAACCAGCGGTCGCTACGAGGAGGCGCCCAGGACGTGAGCCCATGGCACAACAGTGGCAGCAGCGGGTAGACCAACTGTCAGGATCTAGCCATCACAAGCCTCAGCGCTCATCCGCGTTGTCAATAAAAGGCCAGTATACGTAACTTCTGGCTAGAGCTTTCATCCGTGATATTCCGGGGTGATGTTGGTTCAAACTGTTTAATATGCTTGCCTGCAGGGACTTCGGAACAACCCCTCGTTCAGCGAACATAACACTCATCACCCAGTGCCAACGAGTAACCTTGACAATAAAAGTTGCGAAGGTGTGTGTCAGTAATCCGGTTCGGCCACTTCGTGTTTAGAAAACGAATGACGTTTTGCAAAAGACGGTCGAGGTTGGTGTGCTCTTGAATGTGCACAGAAGTAATCGGAAGAGCTCTGATTGAAGTACACAGAAGCTGTCTCATGTCTCTTACAAGCGCAACTGACGCGATCACCTGGTCTTCTTCAATACTTGGCTGTTTTGTGATAAGTCGAGACAGTGTATCAGCGCAGCTAAAATGTGCCGTATGCACATGAGCTATTGTAAAATTCTTTCCGAGCAAGTGTCGTCCAAGGTTGGAGGCGACTCGCCGTGTACACAGGTACGCCATTCTTTGAACTGAAAATGGATACTAATGGTTTGTGGTCAGTCTCCAATACGAATTTTCTACCCTGCAAAATCCGATGAAACATTTTGACAGCAAAAGTTAAAGTCAGTGCCACTTTCTCGATCTGTGGGTAGTTTCCGTCAGACTTCGTACCAGAATTGAAGCGCTGACGGAGGACCGCTCCAATACCATAACTAGAGGCATCTGCAGAGACAATGATGTATGCTTTTGGATCCCAGCAGTAAGTTAGATACAAGAGTTTCCGCAAAGGGTCTAAACGCTTCCTTACATTGGCATGACCAAAACTAAGGACGACTTTTACCCAGCAACCCATTTGTTGGCTCGCGAAATCGATGCATATCAAAAATAAGTGCACTGCAATAGCTCATGCCCAGGAACGATCGCAGAGTAGGTATGTCGTGCGGTGCAGGTGCATTATGGCGCGTATCTTTTTCAATATCAGGTCTTCACCAGTCAGGAACGACAAAGAAACCAACGCATTGCACTTGGTGCATAAACAAATAACATTTATCAGTTCTCAGAATCAAAGCATATTCCCGCAGTCATTCGAATACCTGCAAGAGGTGGCAACTATGCTGGCTTTTGTCTGAGAATGTGATGATAATATCATCCAAATATGCGCAAGCTGATGGTATGTCCGTCAGCGTGGTATACATCAGTTGTTGAAAGAGTCTCAGAGCAGAGTTTACTCCAAACGGTAGTCGATCTTACTGATACAGGCCACGGTGAGTGTTAATTGTAAGAAGGTGCCGTGCGTAATAATCGAGTACCATTTAAGGATAAGCATCAGAGACATCAATCTATGAAAAAATGCGACTGTCATTGAGTCTGGCGAAAAGATCCTCCGGTAGTAGCGGCGCATATTGATGGAGACTCATGACTGCGTTCAAGCCGGTCGAAAAATCCCCACATAAGCGAATTGTTCTGTTTGCTTTTTTCACAATTACTATAGGCGCTGCATTCCAGTTTGGATATCATCTCTGATTGCTCGCAGCGATCCAATTCATCATCCACTAACTGAAGAGAAGCACAAGGCACTGGTCTTTTGGGTCGGAAAAGAAGCTTTACACCATTTTTCAAATAAAGAGATGCCGTGAATTTGGTACAGCAGCCAAGTGTGGGGTTGAACACCTCTGGAAATTTCTTCTGCATATCGTCGGCGATTGTAGAATTCAGCGCTACGTGGCAGTGTGATGAGGTGTCTGAAGCTGACAGACTATCCTCGGTTGGATCACACACAGATACAAAAGGAACATTCCACAAGTTCAACGCGTTGCTCCAATTGATACCAATGATATTTAGTCCCGGGTTGTCAGAAAGGTGATGAAAGCCAGTTCGAGTATGCTTTTCGTAACCGTAATTACAGGAAAATTTACCTTGTCGTAGAATACTGTTCGATGCACTCTGCAGTATTTTCCGCATTGATTAGTATCGGGATACCGATAACCGACCATGTACAGCTAAAGAGGATGGTAATGTCAGATGCGTTATCCGACTGCAAGCATAAAGTGACAATTGATAGTTGTAGTGATGAACTTACGAAGTGAAAAATATCCTTTCTGTGCAGATGCATAAACCACATTTGACTGTCAATTGATTTCTCGTTGCTGAGACGGTTTCGAATGGCCCCATAATAAGGACCTCGTGTGGTCGATCGGCAATGTGGCAGACAGTGCGCTGGTGACTGATGAACAGGCAGTTCCTGGCAAAATGTCAGTCAGGACAATTCCAACAAACATATAGAAGTTTCTATCGTGTCGGTGTTCGGGTAAAAATTGTATTAACTATTGCAATCTCTGATTTTAGTTGTCTCGACTGCAACAATGTAACCAGATGCTTACCATCTGCAGTAACGTTCTGAATGGTGATCTCTGGAGATGAGTCCAGTTTGGAGAACAGATTTGTTCTGACATGAGTCAGATGCAGAAGTTAGGCCGGATACAAAAATAAGTGACTTGAACTGATCGGCTACTGACAGTAGCCCTTAAGCTTCCTTGGGGTTCATGACCTTTGCCCCAGTGCTACCAGCTATTGTTTTGTGTTTGTGTGCATTTGTTTCTGACCAATTCAAAACGATCGTTTATATATGTTGTTAGTTTGCAAATGGTCAAATAACACAAAATGGTGCCATCTTGCAGTGCTCGTCTTCTTATTGTTTTGTTCAGACTGATACAGGGAACACGATGCTTTAAACGTCTGTAAGTTGTTTGAGTTTGAAGCGTTCCCACGGCAGGTTTACTCTACCTACGTAGGAAACATAATCCTCGGATTGACTTTTAATCAGCTTCAAACACTGACAACAGATAATAAAAATTGATGATCTCTTAACAACAATTGAAGTGAGGACATGGACAGTCTCCTGAAAATCCCAGTAGCGAAAACGTATCGGTAGAATAAAGTTACAGTAGTTGTTGTGTTCATCTGCACCTAGTTTCAGTAACGACCACCCTACTTTGGCAGCATCGTCAAGCGTGATCGTATCAATCAAAAATATGCCTTCATACCACCTGTACCAGGTTGAGAAAATGATACCGTTCTCTGTGTCATACTGGAAGTCTTGCATTCTGTTTGCTAACGCTCCAGGTCTTTGATCACCGCTGCATTCGGAGCATTGATGGTGTATGGTTGCAACATCACATTAGCAGTGAGGATGTTCATATAAGTATCTTCATACCAGACAGACTGACGGCCGCCGAAGCGCACAATTTCACTGCATGTGCGTCGGTGGTTTCGGCATGTGCTTCGCATGCCTAATGACAGTGCCTCACTGTGCACAGTTTGCGCGCACAGAAGTCGGCTGGAAGCGAAAACAAGTAGGCAACTGATTGAACTGGGCCAAAACTTTCAATCAAAGAGTACAAAGACAGAGGTGTTACGCTTCAGATAGTAACTAAGATTTAAAGGTGTTACCTTCGGTAACATATCGCAAAGTGGCAACGAGGACTAACGGATAAAAAAGCAGATCTAGTCATAGAAAATTAGCGTTTCGTGAGCGCTTTTAGTTAAATCTAACTTCAGTCGCCTACAGCGGTGTAAGGGGTCGATTGAAAAACGCACCTTATGGATGGCACTGCATAAAATTGTTATCGTGAATACACTGAAAACTTGGATAGATTCAAAGGATGGTTAGACAAGAGGAGATTGAACGGATTTGTAACGACAAGATCACAGAAGCGTAGCATCAATTGAAGATGAATTCGATAATAGTTTCGATCGAATCAACTCGTCCATGCATGCACTGCGATTGATGGAGAGTTAATAACAGATAAATAGAGATGAAAAATGACAAAGAATGACGTACCGGAAGAGTATCCCCATCAATATTAGTATATTTATTCAAACATGAAATAGCTCGTTGCAGATTGTGTGGCTTGCTAAGAAGATGGCATCCAGAATTGAAGACGGTGCACAAAGGATCCACATTAGATAGATTAAATTGCTGGCAATAGCAAGCACGGAAAAGATCGGCAACCTGAACGAGGACGTCACTGTGTTTAACATTATCATCGGGAGGTGCAGAGGATGATTCTGCAGTAGATTGATTGAAATCTTCACAGTCATCATCCATACAAAGTTCGGGAACAGAGTAGGAACATCCGTCGACAGGTTTTTGCGCCGAAGAGGGGAAAGAAAATTCTGAATAAGGTGTATCTACTAGGTCGCGCCCGAGAAACACAAGACAACCCATCAGTCGTTCGAAATCTGCAATTGGGATGCGCAGAATATTTGTGTTAAACGCAAGGGCGTTTGCGAGTTGAAGTAAGAGATTATAATTAAGTCCATGCAGACCAAGTGGGGTCAATCACAAGAATAAAAATGGGAGGCAATGATATTCCACATGAGGAGGATAGCGAAAAGTTGGCGCCCTACCAAAAAGCATGGCACAAGACAGCAATGTGTATTGATGAAGCCACTAAGCTAAGTGCAAAATAAAAAAATGTTAATGTGTATTCAATGAGGAAAGAGGGCAACATTGGCACTGCATCAAACTAATGCCAGCACGATATAAAAATTAAAAGCTGGAAAAACAGAATTGCCTGCACAACGAATCTCCCTCAAAGACAAAGGATGGACTTGAGACTCTGTTAAGACACTCCCATTACCTCTTCTCTTTTTTCCTGCTTTTGATCTTCATGAACGCAACCTATCCTCTATCAATCCGCGTTGCCATTTCCGCTACGGTTTTATTGCCACACACTATAGGATGTCCCACTCCGGGTTCCCTCCCACTTCCCCCTAATAGTGACTTCGTATGACGGCGCATCAACCTCTGTGGTTACCACGTCGCTCCCACATGGTTCTGGAACACTGGGTAATGGTTGAACTTAAACTTTCACACTCGATATCAGTTCAGTTAGTGCCCGTGACACGTTGTGGTCGTTCGTTTCCTCAAACTGTGTCGTAGTCTATCCAGTTGTGGCAAAATTGGGCGCATAAGTGCGACCAATGCAGGGCTCAGTGCTTGTTCCTCGGCTGTATAAAAGAGCTGTACAGGGCTCAGACAGATATCCGATGATGGGGTGTTGCGATTCGTCAGTAACATAAGGTATTGGTCCAGGTGAATCCCTATAATATTGGAAAACAACCGGTTGGTTTGTTTTACTACTGATTCAGCCCTTCCGTTTGACTGGCTCTCAAACGGACTAGTTTATCGCTGTGCAAATTCTCACTTGGTTGCGAAAGCTTAGAATACAGCCCTTGTAAACTGAGGAGCATTGTCAGGAGCCAGTAGCTCCGTTATTCCGTAGTGGGCGAATTGACTGCTGCTTGCGTAGTTGTAGCGCTGGGAGAATTAAGTTCGAAGTAATTCACTGTTATCACAAAATAAGTCCATTCACTCCTTATGTCATGGCCGACAGGGAATCCAATGAAGCCTGAGAGTTTCTTTGGCCAAGAGAACTTATGGGAAATGGCACGCCTGAATGAGTGGAGTCCGAGGGTGACTAATCAATAGTATGTTAAGGATAGAAGGAAAGGTGTGAAACAGAGGACCACATGACCCATGTCCCGATAAAAAAGTTACGACTACTAAACAGCTTCAGGAAACCAAATTGATTTTCGCGCTCATAAAGAGTGTAACAAATCTTAGAGTTTCATGAAAACAGCAAGCGGAGAAACTCATCGCTAAGGATGTAAGCGTATGCAGTAAGATTAGAAGTAAAATTGATATACGTTAAAGGAAACCGGAGACTGACCCGATGAGTAGGTAGCCGCAAAGGGAGCCAATTGGCGAGCGAGCCCAAGTATAGCGCCCAGGTCGGGGGATTTTTGTTGTACGGCAAGGAGAAAATCGAGTTTAATGAGGGAAAATTCCAGCTGGGAAGCCAAGCTCCCTAGTCGTTCCTTGTTTCCTAGCAGCCATCTACAAAGAAATGCAAGCCAGTATGAGTGTACTGATTGGTGGAGCATCACAGGGGCACAATACGAAAAGCCAATTCGATCCAGAGCACATGTTTAAAAGAGGAAGAGTCAATGTTGCAAAATTTTGAGTCTAATCGCCAACAGAATACGCACGTGGAAGTCATTCGACGGGGTTCATAATGGAAAGGTGGTGTGGTCAAGAGGTAACAGAATTCGGCTCTAGAGCAAGCCTAGTCCGGTCAACACAAGCATTAAACTAAGACCCAAGCGTTCGGATGTGGTGAGCTCAGTTACCATGCTTCGTGTCGAAAGGAAAAGCAATTGAGAATAAACGAAAACTAACCCAAGGGTAAAATAGAATGGAAGAGGTCAGAAGAAGGATGCAACCATCGAATGGAAGTGATAACAGCAAGAAAGTGTGCGAGAAAGTCACCGACCTCAAAATTGTGTCATATCAATTAACGTAACCAACCGATAAAGCAGCCGAGCGGAAGGGTATCATGCAGGAAAATAGCATGTATTAGTGTAAAAAAAGAGTTCCGCCCGGATGGTATATGCCATGTCAGCAAGTGGGCACCTTGGTGTCTCATCCAACTTGCAGCGACAAAAGCAAAGATTGACGCCAGTATAGGGGATGGACAGAAAGTAGAACGTAAGACGCAAGGTGCAAAACAAAGCGCATCGCAACAGCAAAGTTGTTGTCAAGATCAAATGAATAACTTCGGTAGCAATACATTTGTAAACTGGTCGCATGTGAGCAGCGCTACGTAGGTCACAATGGCATAAGACGTACAAGCTTTCGATTTCTTTAGGGCGAAGTGGACAAATACAAGAATCACACGGTAACGCTGGATGTACTGAAACGTTGCAACTTTTACCCGTGACCGAAAACGTGAAGCCTAGCTATCTTCACATATAGATTACACTTCGTAAAACCCTCCAGATCTTCTGGATCTTGAGGGCAACTTCCAAAGGTAATTCGATCATCCGAGGCAACATGAGAAAATAGTGAACAATAGGCCAACCGTTTCCAGTGATTATTAGGTTGTTACAAGAATCGGAATGTCGACCGTCTTACCATTGTAATATACACACTGTAGATTTGGAGCAAATGTCAAAGTGTTAGGTTAGTGTCAGTTTAAATAGCAGAGACAGCAATGTAGCTGCAAATACAACATCCAATCAGACGCGCCATCAGACGAGGCTAGAAGTAAAAACGAATAGAGTAAGGAGAAATTAGTGGACAGAAGTCCCGTACCGGCAGCGAGTAAGGTATAAAAATATTAGCGTACAGGGTAAGTGATCGTTGGGCGACGAGCCACTGTAACCAAGGGATTACCTTCAATTAGTGGATGAGAGCGCGACCAGGTAGCAAGAGGATAGTTTGGTCCTAGTTGACTTCGGATTCGCTTGCAAAAATGGGGCCGTTGTTTAACACTACCATAAAATCTATGGTCCTCAGTATACATGACTTCAGGACAGTAGCACCTACGTCTGCTTCTACAACAAGCGTAAGGCAGCGTGTTGACTGGTGTCCGATAGGGCTTTGGAAGGTTATGGTGCAGTGCAAAATTGTACACCAAACTATATCAGAGTGTACTGCAATAAAAGACCGAGCGTAGTCATCAAAGTAGACTATAACAAGTCACACTGTACAAAGATCAGTGGCAAAGAAAAGAATGCACAAGGTAAGCACATCCGTTATGAACAACGGAGCACGAATTGTGCAGCAGAAATGTCCATCTGGTACTCTACGGAGCACAATCGAGTAGTGGAATAGATATACCAACAATAAGTTAAGTACAAATACTTACTTTCTAGCGTGATCAAGGTCACCGCATTGAACGCACGAAACCAAGTTACTCAGTTCACAAAATTTGTCCACGCATATTTCACCAGTGGGAAGACCGAAATCCTGTGGACGGTAACAACGTTACTCTGATTACTAATAAATCTAAGAAGAACGTTCGCATGGGACTTTGCCAAATTATTGCAAAAAAATAAGAAAAATAATAGTGAGTGAAGCAGGTGGTGAGGAGACATGCGTCTAACAGTTCATAATATGGGTCGCAGGAGCGTTTCCCTTTGACTAACCTGCTTCCCTGCAGCCTTAGCAGAGGTGTCGCCCAAGTGTTGACAACAATAAAGACTATCCAGTGTCTACTGCTCCATTTCGCGTCCCAAGAATAGCGAATGGAGATATCACACCCATTACACACTATAAAGAGTTCTGACTCCGTGTTCCTCTGCTTCCATGCTAATTAATGCTGTATTAGTTTAAGTACTCGTTGGAGATATTAAGCCAACTAATAATGTAAAAAGGTGCAGGGCAGCTCACACTGTGCAACTGAAAACCAAGCCATATAACTATCCTAATGCCTCCCGTGGTGTAGAGGTGATGGAAGCCAATGAGCCAAGCATCTACTGGAGGAAAAAGCTTAAATATAACCTTTAGCTCCTTCCATTTCAGCATTGCATTATCTTTTGCTCGACCACACAAACCCGACAATTCCTACCTTCAGATGGGCTCTGAAGGACAAAGCCAACTGAGTCACTTCAACTTTTAATATTCCAACATTAACTTATATTTGTCCGGTCATGCAAACTTCAAGGCTACACCCGCAAGTGAGTCTTGGATCGTAACACCAGCCGAGTCCGTCCAGCCTCAATATCCGATTACTTCATGACCATTTCGCCGTGTGACAGTTGTACTCGGAAGAAAAGTAATAGAGGTGTGAGCTAAGCACGTAGACTATCCGCTACATGCAAACGTCACTAGCACGGGCGTGCTAGGAGCTCTGACCATTCCGCTGAATTTGGGAATCAAGTGAGAATTGATCGGTCAGCAAATAGCCTGCGTCAAAGGAGTTGAACTATTCCGTCAATATGATATGGAGCGGAATTCACTCACACTAACTGACAACCAGACACAGAAGTGTGTGACCTTGACCTTCGAAATTAGCATGTTTCGTTTGCCAATAAATAGTTAACCTATCCTGTAGACATACTCCCTCTGGCTACCGAGTTCGGGCCTTTTGTATTCTTTCGGTTGGCTGGGCGCGTGACTGAGCAGTCAGACAGTCGCAATCCCACAGGGCAGTAAGCAAAAGTACAACAGTTGTCAGTGGCAGAGGGAAAGAAGAAGCGTTACAACAAAAAAGGATTACCAATTTATCATTAACGTTCCTCAGACGACTGCTTCTTTCGCTGGAATCATGATAAAGTCGACCTTAAACTTCCACGGATAGGTGAGCGTTGAAGAGCTCAGTGTGATTTAGGTCTCATTAGCATCTGAGCACAATTTTTCAATAAAACAGGTAATTCAAGCGAAAATCGTGGAAACCCAAATATAATTATGTAAGATTGTGTCGCCGCAAACTGCTCGCACTCCACGACTGCAATGAGAACACGAAAGATGAACCAAGACAGAAGTATTTGCACGAGAAATCTGCTTTGCTTAAATATGGTACAGTAGCGATAGAGACAAAGCCACTAAAACGCATCAGGGCCAACCAACAACGGTTCAATGAGGAAAGCGCATACGAAAACTTCCCACAGCAAAAAGCGCACTGACATAAAAGCGTACACGGAGGACTGTGCACAATAAAAGTAAAAATATGTTAGCAATCTGGTCACAAGCGCCCATATTATCTATTTGTGGCACTAACAAGGTCTAATTTTTGACCTATGCCTTCAAAAGTAGCAAATTGTGACAATTATGAAATTCACACCGAGGGTACCCGTGAGTTCCGCCGCTGGGCAAGTACCGTACTGCGCAGTGTTGCCGTATGGACATACTTTTGTTATCAAGTTTAATTGACCCATCGGGGAGCGAACAGCCACATGACATGTTTATTTTGTCAGTTGAGAATTTTATCAACCACGTCACAGACCATTCTTCAAGAGAGCGAAGATCTTGAATTAAAAGTAGGGTGCTCTAAAGCGCATCACGCTGGAGTGTATAAACAATCCAGATCCCATGAGCAAATACAAAGAGTTGGTCATTTTTGATGGACATGCCAATATCATTTATGTAGAGGATAAAAAGTAAAGGATCAAGTACAGTTCCTTGGATGACGCCGCCGGTTATCGAAAGAGAAGAATGGTGATCACCCAAAGTGACTATTTGGGTCCGATTGCTAAAGTAGGAAGAAAAGCCAATTTGAAAGCGGGTTCTGAATTCCAAAGGATTCAAGTTTCTTCAAAAATCGTTTGTTTGGTACACGGTCAACTGCTCTTATTAGGTCCAAAAATAAAATTATGATTGCATAACCGGGCTGGATTCTGAAATGTGGTTAAAGTAGTGCAACTGGCAGGTCGTACAAAAACGTCTAACAAGAAAACCATATTGAGATGTGTGAAAATAGTTCAAGGAATTAAGCAACTCCATCAAGGTTTTCTTGACTGAACTTTCAAACAAAATGACGATGGCGGAAGTATGATGAATCGGTCGGTAATTGGCAGCTTTTTGCTTGTGACCACTTTTATGGTGTGGGACGATGATCAGGGAAAGAGCTAGTTTGTAGCGATAAAGAGAACATGTTTAACAAGAGTAACGATAAGTCTGGTCCTCCCATTTTACTAGCAGTTGTAGGGATGCCGTAGGAGTCCAACCTGATAGAAGCTTTGCTGGTTTTCATTAGCCGCTGAATAGTACAGAGATATTTCAACGCTGTTTAGACTTTCGGTTGTTACGGATTGAGGGCATTCAGGTGTGGGGTCAAAGTCAAAAAATCATGGAGGCAGCAAAGAAGGCGCTAGACGCCACACAAATGGCAAGTGAGTCAATCAAAGATGTACCATGTTCATTCAAGAGTCACGTGAAAGGAGAGCTATTGCCGGTTCTATGACGAAGAAAAACGACCACTTTCTTTGTTTTGCTACCCGTTGGTATAGCAATTCTCCCTCGCTTTTGAGTCGCATCATTTGTGCATGTTTGATCCTAGTGGTCCATTCAAGTGCTTACAATATTTTTGAAAAGTTTCCGGTCTTTTGAAATTTTGCCAGCAATTTTCGCATCTTCTGGGTGAGTAAAGGATCTTTTCCTTTTTCATTTTGTGTAATAATAAGGGTTATGTCATGGTGGACGTTTGTATAGAACTGTGCTACTGATAGGTAAAGATCGGTGGATAGGAAAAATGGATCCTAATCGCCAAATCTGATCAAAGATTGGAGGTGCATTCAATTAATTCCTTGGCATTTGACCTGATAGTAAAATTGAAGTGCAATGTTTTGTGATTACCTGATAGACAGGTCAGCAGAGCGATGTTTACGTCGATGACTCCTAATGTAATAGTAAAGCAAGTACGCTAGTAGACCTAGTAGGTTCTGTAACCTGTTGGGTCCCTCCTCCAGCCATAATAGTTGACAGGAAATCTGTATATGCTGACTAAGATATTTCTTGGAAATGGAAGTCTCCACTTATTATTTTCCGTTTGTAGGCAAGACTGATGGAAAATGTACTGAAGAGCAGATGGTGATGACATCATCAAATGGGGCATTCGGAGGGTTGTACGTGCATCCGAGAAATATATGATGGGAAGTGCTAGTGACAAGTAACCATATATATATATATATATATATATATATATATATATATATATATATATATGTATATATTTGGTTGGCGGCATCCGGTTTCGGATTTGCCTGTCACTGTGGCAAGCCACAGGACGCCTGCGCCTACAGAGGGACCATGGATGGCTTGCGCTGCACCACCCACAGCTCCAATCACACACCCCATATCCAGTGTAAACCCGAAGGAATAAGACCGGGAGGCATGCGGATGGGAACCGCGTTTCATCAATGGAGCCGGCCCACACTCCTTCACAGGCAAACAGAAGCACGCTGTATTTGGGGAATCAACCGCACACAAGGCGGTGGCTGGACCGTAGTCCGCTCCACACTGACTGCATGGAACCACTCTTCGAGCCTAGCACGACCACAAGGACCGTGCACCCCGTCCCCTCCAGCAACGACCAACTGTCTCATGGAGCCAGATGGACGAGGTAGTGGGTAATAGACAGGTAGGCACCTTGTCAACATGCACATCAAGCGCAGCCACACCGGGTATATCAAACAACAGCCAAACACATAAGAGAGAGGGAAAGAAAATAACTCGATTGATGCATACGGAAACGGTGACATAAACCTTAAGTTAATGAGCATATGAAATAAGTTGTTTACAAACGAATCCTAGATAAGTTCACGAAGTGAGAAAGTATACTATACGGAAATGGCACGAACACAAAATTGTTATGGAAATCGAATACAATTGGCTTAAGCGAGGTGTGCAAGTTAATGGAATAGAGTACAGGTAGACATTTATATGAGAAAGAAAAGCATTAAGGCAAAACTGAAAACCCGCCATCTGAAATAAAGAGACTTAGCATGCAAGCACGCGGTTAGTAAATCGAATTCAGCGTGCCTACAAACGCTGCGCCGGCTCGCCGTAATTCTCTGCAGGACCCGTCGTCGCTTCTGTAGTGGTCCCGAGTGGCCTCGCTCATGGCTCACTAAGCCTGCCTGACTAAGGCACTCGCGACCGCATGTTCTACAGCACCATGCGCTCGATGTCGATGGAGTACAATTCATCGGTGCTTGCCGCTTCCGCAACTGCCGCTTCTTCTCTGCATGCATGAGGGCTTTCTCCCGCACTTCAGCGACTGCCTCCGTGATTAGATCGCGCCATGCACGCCGATCAACCGCCTTCGATTCCCATGATCTGCAATCAAGATTAGAACGTGTGAGGCTCACTTTAATCATGTCCTGGTAACGTAACTTTGGTTTCCCCACGTGCCGCTTCCCTATACTCAGCTGACCGTATAAAAGTTGTTTCGGTATCCACGTCGAATCCATACGGCTCACATGACCGAGCAATCTCAGGTGTCGCAGTAAAAGTATGCCGTCCACTGCATACATCCCAGTTCGGCGCAACACTTCCGTGTCTGCAACTCTGGCGCCCCAACCGATCCGCAAAATTCGTCGCAGACACTGCTGATGGAACCGCTCGAGATATCGCACATCCCGACGGTACATCGTCCACGTTTCACTGCCGTATAGTAGAACGGACAGTACCATGGATTTGTACACTATCAGCTTCGTGCCAACGATAAGCTGATACTTGTTCCACACTCGGTACTCTAGCTTCCCGAATGCTGCCGCTGCGTTCGACACGCGAATACGCAACTCAACGTACAGCTGCTGATCAGTCAATATCACACTGCCAAGGTAGCTGAAACGGGAAGTGATTTCCAATACTTCAGCACCAATGCTGATTCGCGGCAATATTGAAGATTGCACCTCGGTTGAAGGCTGAAAGAGACAGACAGTTTTGCTTGTGTTGATGGTGAGCCCGAATTTGGCCGCTGTGGAAGCCAGAGCACTAGTCATGTGCTGCAACTCATCCGCGCTGTGTGAAAACAACGCACAGTCGTCAGCAAACAGCAACATACGGATAGTTGTCTCACAGACTAGAGTTCTCGCACCGAAACCACGGATGTTCAGCAACCCACCATCAATACGGTGCTCCACACGAACACCGTAAGCACAAGCCGCATCAAAAGCACAAGACAACATTGCATGAAGATAGATATTAAACAGGGCAGGAGCTAAGACACAGCCTTGCTTCACACCAGGGACAACTGCAAAGTCATCCGAGGTCTCTCCACTCAGCTGCACCCTCGCTCGCATACCACTGTGCAGACATACAAGTAAACTTACAAACTTACGCAGGCAACCAAACTTACCCAACACCAGCCACAATGTCTCGGGGTTCACCATATCAAATGCCTTGGTGAAATCAACAAAAAGCGAGTACAATGGCTGGTGTCGTTCTCTGCACTTCTCTTGCAACTGACGAACCGCAAACACCATATCTATAGTGCTGCGACCCGAACGGAATACACACTGCTCTTCCGCCACGTTAGGTTCAACAACCTGACTCACGAGGCGATTGAGCAGGATTCGGGCAATCACCTTGCCCACACAACTCAGCAAGTTGATGCCACGATAATTCGCGCAACATTGCTTGCTACCTTTGCCCTTGTACAGTGGTAGCACAAGAGCATCCTTCAGCTCAGGAGGCACCTCCTCCTCAATCCACACACGTTGCACCAAGTGGTGCAGCGCAGTCAACAACGCTGGTCCGCCGTGTTTCAATACTTCAGGCGCGATCCCGTCGGCTCCGGCACACTTGCCGTTTCGCAGCTGATGTATATATATATATATATATATATATATATATGAATTGGCTGCCTGTCTATTACCCACTACATCGTTCATACTGGCGCCAGGAGACAGCTGGTCGTTGCTGGAGGGGACGGGGTGCACGGTTCTTGTGGCCGTGCTAGGCTCAAAGAGCGGTTCCATGCACTCAGTGTGGAGCGGACTACGGTCCAGCCACCGCCTTGTGTGCGCTTGTTTCCCGAAATACAGCGTGCTTGTGTTTGCTTATGAAGGAGTGTGGGCCGGCTCCGTTGATGAAACGCGGTTCCCATCCGCATGCCTCCCGGTCTTATTCCTTCGGGTTTAAACTGGATATGAGGTGTGCGGATGGAGCTGTGGGTGGTGCAGCGCAAGCCATCCATGGTCCCTCTGTAGGCGCAGGCGTCCTGTGGCTTGCCACAGTGACAGGCAAATCCGAAACCGGATGCCGCCAACCATGATTTGGCGGCGTCCGTATCCGGATTTGCCTGTCACTGTGACGTCCATGGGGACAGTCACAGGACGCGTGCACCTACATAGGAAACCATGAGTGGCTTGCGCTGCACCACCCATACCCCCATATCCGGTGTAAACCCGAAGGAATAAGACCGGGAGGCATGCGGATGGGAGCCACGTTTCATGACACGGAGGAAGCACGTTTATCCACAACAGGAAAAAACAGAGGAGTGTACAGGACCTTGATAAGACAATCAAAACAAAAAGGGAATGTCAGAGTTTTTGGGTCGGTAAAGTGCCTTCGCACGTTTTCATATATCTGCGGTTTCTCGAGAATCTGCAAATGAAAGAGAAAAGAAAGAGATCATTTAAGTAGTCTTTAAAACGACCCATGGCGGTTTCGATTTCGTTACACCACTCCCCCTTCCGGCGAAGACACTGTCCTCAGTGTCTCAGTGCCCTGAATACTCGCCGAGCCGCCTTCGGGGGTATCTCCACAGTGTGTTCCACGATCGGGAGGCATCCGGGTGGGACGACTTCCTCCTTCGGAGTAGAGGCTGAAGATCCCGCTGGTTTCAGCTGATTGTAATGCACGGTCAGAACGTCGGAATTTGGTTGAGCGACATCTCGGACGACATACACCGTGGGTGAACGGACGAACACAATCTCGTATGGCCCTTGCCACTGTCGGTGAAACTTCGCTGCTGCGCCAGGCGGAGGTCTTGGGCGGTGCAACCATACGCGATCTCCAATGTGATATTCAGGGCCCCTACTGTGCCGATCATAACATACTTTCTGACGATGCTGTGCTATCCTTGCGTGTTCTCCCGCACACAGAAAGGCTGATCGAAGACGTTCGCCAAGCTGTCGTACGTAGTCTAACAGAGAACAAGCCTCGATTGGGGGAATAGGGGATATCAGCTCCAGAGGCAAACGAAGCTCGTGACCAAATGTCAGGAAGGCTGGAGAATACCCCGTGGTTGCATGCACAGACGCTCGATACGCCATCATGCATTGTGGAATAGCTTCGTCCCATCGATCTGACTGGTGCCGCTCCAGGAAACTCTGCAAAATCCCTTTTATAGTTCGGTTGGTGCGCTCTACTAATCCATTCCCTTGTGGATGATACGATGTGGTACGTGTCTTCCTCACCGAGAGCAGCCGACACACCTCCTGAAGCAGGTGACTCTCGAAGACGGCGCCTTGATCTGAATGCAGTGACAGCGGTGCTCCATAGCGGGCAATCCACTCATTTACGATGGCTGACGCAACCGTTGCCGCATCCGGATTTTTGATAGGTATGGCCTCGCACCATTTCGTAAAATAATCTATAAGAACAAGGAGGTGGCGGTTCCCGTTCCTTGTGACTGGCAAAGGCCCCATTAGATCGACTCCGACTCGCTGACCTGGGGACGTGGCCACTATCGGTTCCAATGGGGCCCGGGATAGGGGGTCTTCGATTTGATAGCGGCACAGATCTCGCAGGCGTTACATAGCTTCACGACGTCGGCGTGGATTCCTGGCCACCAATACCGTTGACGTATGGCTGTCTCCGTCTTTAGTTGGCCAGCGTGACCTAACTGCTGATGGACTGCTTGTAGTACGCCCGGCACTCTCGACATAGGAGTAATCACTTTCGGGCCCAGGTCATCCATGAGGAACAGCGTCCCACCAATGATTCTTAATCGGCTCCAGTGGTCCCATAGTGAGCGTTCGTCTTTCGAACGGGATTGCATTTCCGTACCCGATGGTTTAGACGATCCTTCCACTTGCCGCATATAAATGTTAGATATATATGGGTCCTGGGCTTGATCCTCTGACCACGTTGTATCAGTTTCCGAGTGGTGTAGAACTGCATTTATTTCGTCCAGAGCGGGAATTCGAGAAAGGGCATCTGCGTTGGCATGCCGTGCTCCCGGCCGGTACTCACAGGTAAAATCGTACTCTTGTAGGCGTTCTTGCCACCGCGCGACTTGTCCCTCCGGGTCACGGAAGTTTTGTAACCATTGCAGAGATTGATGGTCAGTCCGCACAAGGAAAGGTTTTCCGAGTAAATATGGTCGAAAATACTTCAAGAAATACACCAAGGCCAACATCTCACGTCTCGTTGTGCTATACTTACGCTCTCGCTTGTCCAGTCGGCGGCTAGCATAAAAGATCACGGTTTCCCCAATAGAAGTTTTCTGCGACAAAACAGCGCCAATCGCCTCGTTACTGGCGTCGGTGTCTAGGACAAAAGGCCCAGCTCGTTCGGAAGTATCCGGGAGACCTAACAGCGGTGGCGACGTGAGGCATTCTTTCAGTCGTCCGAAAGCGCTGGCACACTCGTCCGTCCAAACAAACTTCCGTCCCTTTTCCGTCAGGCGATGTAACGGCGCCGAGATCGAAGCAAAATTGCGCACAAACCTCCGGTAGTAAGATGCCAGTCCCAAAAAACTACGCAATTCATCAACTGATCTGGGTTGTGGCCACGACCTTATCCGTTCGCACTTGTCAGGGTCGGTTTGAATGCCGTCTGGCGTTATTACGTGTCCCAAAAAGTTAACCTGCTCGCGGAGAAAACGGCACTTCCGTCCCTTCAGCTTTAATCCAGCCTGCCGTAACCGCTCCAAAACTGTACGTAGACGGGTGTTGTGCTCTTCGACCGACCTACCATGCACTATCACATCATCCAAATATATCAAACATTCCTTGGGTACGAGGCCCTCCAATACTTTCTGCATCAGGCGCTGGAAGGTGGCTGGGGCATTAGCCAACCCGAAGGGCATGGTCTCGAATTCATACAGCCCGGATGGTACAATGAACGCGGTTTTCTCCCTATCGGACGGACGGACCTCCACTTGCCAATACCCGGCGGCCAAATCGAGAGTAGTAAACCATCGCGCACCATGAAGAGCATCAAATGTGGCGTCAATGCGAGGGAGGGGGAAGGGGTCTTTACGGGTGACTTCGTTTAGCTTTCGGTAATCTACACAAAGTCGTAGAGAACCATCCTTCTTCTTCACGAGTACGATAGGAGACGACCAAGGCGATGTCGATGGGCGAATAACGCGCATATCAAGCATCTCCTGGATCATGCGATCTAGCTGGGCTTCGTAATGAAT